GAAAGAAAGAAAGAAAGAGGTTGAGGTCACTTTTCTAACCTGTGCCAGTTAGCAGCTAATAAAATGGCAAGCACAGCTGGTGTCATTGTAGATCTTAATGTGTGCTCTTACAACTCACTAAACAGGAGCCGATAATGGCAGTGAAACACTTGTTTAAACATTTCACAGCTTTTTTTTTAATCCATACATGTGATTCATCTCACCTAGATGTACCTGTTGCTTTGCTGTTATTTTTAAGCAAGGGGTCTTCCTTAATAATAAAGTTGCATTAGAAATAGCAGCATAATGCTGTCGCTATAATTACTAGTAGTTGGCACTTAACACCAGCAGGGTTCTACACTGCGCTGTGAGTATCAGTTTTGATTTTATATTTCAGTGGAGAGGAGAGCAAATAGCTGTCAGTAGGCATGATTCTTAGTAAGATTTAAAGGCTTACTCCTGTATATGTTCAAGATTACAGTAAAAATGCAATGTGAGTGAACCCTCTCCCCCTGTCCAGCTGCAGTATCATGAACACCTAATTGGTACATAGGATGAGAGAGTCTTGCATTTGTGTGTGCATTATGTAGGTGTGTACAGTGTGTGCAGACTGCTAGCATGAGGTCCCAGAAAGGTTGGCCATGAGGAAACATAGACCTCATGCTGCAAAATATTTTCCCACCTCTGGCCTATGTATCCCAACATCCTCTTCCCAACAATGAACAACTAGATTCAGGGGTCAGCAAACTTTTTCAGCAGGGGGCCGGTCCACTGTCCCTCAGACCTTGTGGGAGGCTGGACTATATTTTGAAAAATAAATAAATGAACGAATTCCTATGCCCCACAAATAACCCAGAGATGCATTTTAAATAAAAGCACACATTCTACTCATGTAAAAACACGCTGATTCCCCGACCGTCCGCTGGCCGGATTTAGAAGGCGATTGGGCCGGATTCGGGCCCCGGGCCTTAGTTTGCCTACCCATGAACTAGAAGCTTCTGGAAGCGCCCCAGGAGAGCATGAAAACAACAACCTTCCTCAGCACGTGGTTTTCAAAGGTTGCCGTACCATCTCTGAATCTGAAGGTCCCATTCAGCTATCATGGCAAAGACCCATTGTCCAATGCAATTCTGGGCTGCATCAATAGGAGTATAGCATCTAGATCAAGGGAAGTAATAGTGCCACTGTATTCTGCTCTGGTCAGACCTCACCTGGAGTACTGTGTCCAGTTCTGGGCACCACAGTTCAAGAAGGACACTGACAAACTGGAACGTGTCCAGAGGAGGGCAACCCAAATGGTCAAAGGCCTGGAAACGATGCCTTATGAGGAACGGCTAAGGGAGCTGGGCATGTTTAGCCTGGAGAAGAGGAGGTTAAGGGGTGATATGATAGCCATGTTCAAATATATAAAAGGATGTCATATAGAGGAGGGAGAAAGGTTGTTTTCTGCTGCTCCAGAGAAGCGGACACGGAGCAATGGATCCAAACTACAAGAAAGAAGATTCCACCTAAACATTAGGAAGAACTTCCTGACAGTAAGAGCTGTTCGACCGTGGAATTTGCTGCCAAGGAGTGTGGTGGAGTCTCCTTCTTTGGAGGTCTTTAAGCAGAGGCTTGACAACCATATGTCAGGAGTGCTCTGATGGTGTTTCCTGCTTGGCAGGGGGTTGGACTCGATGGCCCTTGTGGTCTATTCCAACTCTATGATTCTATGATTCTATGATTCTGTGAGCTGCCGTTTCTGCCTTTAGCAGTTCTTGGGCCCATTTATAGTCATTCAGTGTGAAGAGTTGGCCTGATCTGAGAAATGATTGTGTGTGGCGTGAAACATGGAGGCAGGCACAATCTTCCTCCACAGATTCAGGTTGAAGGCCAGAGAATAAATATGTTGTGCAGGTCATGGACTGGTTGGACGCAGAGGAATAGTGGGAAGAACCAGCCGAGGAACCGCCAAGCAGTGGTGGAGCATATGCCTGCGCTGCCCAGGGCGGGCGCGCTTGCAAGTGAGGGAGGCGTGCTTCCGAGGGCTGCGGAGGGTGTCCTCCCAGATGTGGGATAGCCGCTAGGGTGCACGGAACAGCGCATGTGCCCTGCAGCCGCGGGCAGAGCGAGCAGCCCACAGGCACGGAGCGAGCGTCCAATGGTGGACATTCGGTGCACCGCCCATGACTCCCAAGCCCCCTCCCCCCCACTGTCAAAACAAAGGGGGAAAGGGGGAATGCTACTTGGCAAAGCGGCGCAGCTGCCCCCTTCCCCCAACAGCTCTGGGTAGGCTTGGGAGTCACGAGCGGGCAGCACACCAAATGTCACCCGCTCAGCAAAGACACCCAGGGTGGTTCTCCCCCACCGCAGCCCCTGCCACCAAGAGAAGAAGACTCAGAGCCCAGAGAGTGGTAGTGGCACAATGATAGTTGGGCAGAGGGAGAAGACTGGAAGGAGGAGGTGTCGGAAGCTGAAGAAGCAACAGGGCTTAGTGAGCAGGGAGAGTCTATGGTAGAGAGAAGTCCAGAATCAGAGGCAGAAGCTGAAGCAAGAGAGTGGGATGAGGGAGGCCACGAAGCACAGATGAGTCAAGCTGGTGAAGAGTCATAGGTGTCTTCCCCTCCTGCTATGGCAAGCTCCCCTCCGCCACTTGTCTCCCAGAACCAGCAGAGGCATGAAAAGGGCAGAGGAGAGCTTGGCTGCACACAGGCATAGTCTACAATTGCTTGGGAAAAGCTCTGGAGAGGAAGGGAAGGGTCTTAGAAAGTCTCTTGGCAACTGATTTAGGGGGCCAGACCTACCAGGGATGAGCTGCTGTGTTCACTAGCCTTGACACTTAGCCAAGTTTGTGAAGATCGTCTTTTTACTAGTAAAGGGTTAACTCCCAACTTTGAACAGTGTGATTTACTGCTGGTTCGCTCTTTTGACAGTGCACTTCAGTCCATTGATTGTGCTCTGCTGCACACAACTCTTCCTCCCGTGAAAGGCAGTCATATCCATTGTGTTCCTTCCCTTTTGGTTTGACTTTCTGCAGTGATGCTCAGCTTCACTTTCTTCTCGTTTTCTGAAATGCTAACGGTCATTTTTTAAAACATATCTGAATCCGAGCAAGATGAATATAGCACTCACCATTTGGCTGCTGTACTAAAGATGTAGAGCTTCTGCATGTTAGAGCCAACAGTGATTTACTCCCAAAGCAACACCAAGAGTAATTCCAGCTTTTATATGCCATCTGTGTTAGCAAGTAGCAATGACACCAACTGGACTCTATGCACGAAGCTCTTTCTTCCATTTGCTGCTGAAAAATATGAAAACAGGTCCATGTGGTGCAATGGGCTTTTTCTGTGTCAAGGGAAGAATGAAACTTTGAAATACTTTTGATGTTCTGCTACCCGCATAGGCCTGTGCAAACATACTTTGATCATTTGACAGGAACCGCTGTCTGTACACTTTTATAGGTGGCTAGTACTGCGGCTGAGTTCAGGAAATAATTAGTGCCTCTACACATACACGCCCTAAATCAATCAGTCTAATTGGCTGTGAAGAATATGAAATAAATTGGTTTGATTAGAGGTTACTGTCTTGTGACCTTTATAGTTTAATTGGCTATGGAGGAAGGATGCTTGGAACAGTTGCATGTGTTGTGATGTTGGGTACCAACAGAAGAAAGGGGAAAGTTATGTTTCGTTCATCATTGTTGGAGTGCAGGTTGTATGGGCCACCTGACTGGTCAGCTTTCAATAAAGGTTTATTTATTTATTTATTTATTTATTTATTTATTTATTTCCTGCCCTCCCCAGCCAAAGCCGGGCTCAGAGCGGCTAACAACAATAAAAGTAACACAACATTCTAAAATCCATTCATTCTAAAATCAGTCGTCCATTGTCGATTCTGAATGCCAGTTTCAGTTGTTTGGCACTAGCAAGAACATAAAAGAGCCTTGTTGTCCACCTAGTCCCACATTCTGTTCCCACAGTGAATAACCAAATGCCCATGGGAAGTCCACAAGGCCCTGGTCACGGATCTGCCGTATTACTTCTCATTTGGCGCTGTGATACATTTCACAAGAGGAAACATTTCAAAAGTATGCAGAAATTCAACTTTGTGACATTTGGAGAGAGTGCACAGAGATCTAGGATGGGATGGTAGCTGGTTTTTTATATTTTATTTTATTTATTTATTTAAAAATACTTTATTTTGGGATGCTGAAAGCAGGTACTAGCTGGGTAGCTCAGGTGGTGTGGTGCTGATAACACCAAGGTCACAGGTTCAATCCCCGTAAGAGACAGTCGCACATACTTGCATGGCAAGGGGTGGGCTAGATTTTTTCTCAGGGTCCCTTCCAACTCTATGATTCTGTGTGCTATCTATGTGACTCCTCTCCTGAACGTGAACCATGTGCAAAGTGGGAGAAACGTCACTTTCAGTCTCTTTTCCAGAGAGGTGTGTGACTTCGTGAAGACAGCTGCTAGTGAGTAGGGTTGCGATAAAAGATATTCCAGTACCTTAGAAGCGTGCTTCCATCTTCCCACTCATATTGCAGAGTAAAAAAAAATGGAAAACAGACTTGAGTGCGTGCTGGGGGGAAAAAACCTAGGCAAGCTTTTCTTAGTATAGTAGCATTTAGAAAGCTGTTTTCTTTTGCTTAGTGGGTATGGGTGAATATTTGTGTTACATTGCAAATTTGGCTGCACATACTTTGCTCCTAAAAGTCACCCTGAAAACCTGGTGGTTTATTCTTGGCATTGCCCAAATGTCCAGTGTGTTAGTTCTAGAACCAACAATTCAAAACTCATTAGTCATCATGCGTCTTCTCCCAAACATAATCACAAGGTGTTGAAAGTCATGATAAAGGATGATAAAGGTCAGTGTTTACACAGTATAGAAAAATGTTTTATACATTGCCAGGTAGATGTGGTTCCAGCGTGTGAACTTTCCAATTTTAGTTGGTTTATTTTGGTGCAGTGAGACCGATAAGGATTCAAAGTTCCTGAAGCACAACTTATTGAGCTTGTCATTTTGGGGTCTTTGCTTTGCAGATGTGTCGGTGGAGGGAAAGCTCTGCGACTGCGATGTTGTAGCAGATTGCACAGTCGGGGACACGGTGAAGCTGGAAGTGAAGCTTACCAACTGGAGCAAGCGCAGCGTAGGCCCCTTCTCGCTCACGGTGATCCCCTACCAAGATTACCAAAATGGCGTCCACAACTACGACCTCGAAGATGGCATCACTTTCGTTGGATCCAACACCCTATATATCGATACGGTAAATCCATAAATCACCATACGCTGTCTGGTTCCGTGTTAGAACGTTGAAAAGATAAGCACGAGTTTTCTGTGAAAGGTATCTTGGCATACCTCATCCGTTGCATCATAGATCAAGAAGTAGACTTCAGTTCTGGATGTATCTGCTTCCTAGAGGGTATCCCAGAGCTTATGCTAAAAGAGATACAGTGGTACCTCGGGTTAAGGACTTAATTTGTTCTGGAGGTCCGTTCTTAACCTGAAACTGTTCTTAACCTGAGGTACCACTTTAGCTAATGGGGCCTCCTGCTGCCGCCGCGCAATTTCTGTTCTCATCCTGAACAAAGTTCTTAACCTGAGGTACTATTTCTGGGTTAGCGTAGTCTGTAACCTGAAGCATCTGTAACCCGAGGTACCACTGTACCTATATCACCCACCTTTTAAAAATCTAAATTTAAGAAAATTCTTTAGCATTCTACCTTTCAGTTTAGAATTTACTGTTTTATGCACGGTCCCCTGCTGAATCATAGAATCGTAGAATTGGAAGGGGCCTTGGGGTCATCTAGTCCAACCCCCTGCAATGCAGAAGTCTTCCAACCAACGTGAGCCCCAAACCCACAAACCTGGGATTAAGAGTCTCGTGCTCTACCGACTGAGCTATCCAGTCTCATCCAGTTACACGCTACACGAACGTACTTGACTCCTGGTCCACACGTGGGAAAGAGGTTGCAAAGTGGCAAGTGGTGACCTCCTTCCTCAAAGTACTTATGGGAAGCACTTGTGGAAGGAAATCACAAATGTTTGTGCACTTTGATGAGTGGTTTGAACTGTACAAGTTAAGCCTATTTGCCAAGTTCAATTTTCTCCTCTGACATGAATTGTGATTGAATTGGAGTGCTAGCAACATCACCACCACCACCATCATAATTACAGAGCAGCTTTTCAGCTGATTTCTTGAAGAAAGCTTCCTCAAGGCCAATTAAGGTTGCTGGTGTAGGTAAATGTTTTTCAAGTTGGAGATACAGTAGAACTTGGCAATGAGCCTACAAAACCAAGTAAGGGCTGTTCGAAGAGGCCAGAGTGCCGTAGGAAAAATTGTTCCACAAAGGGAGAGGAACGCAGTGTTCTGCTGTTTACATGCTAATTCCATAAGCCTCCAACCTGTAATAGAGGAATTTGAGTGCTTGGTGCTAAAAGAGAACATAAAACTTCTAAGAAGACTAGTGGAACAGTGAGAACCAGGGAAATATGGTTATCCTTGAATATGAGCTCTATAATAAAGACAGAGCAGAGGAATATATACATGCACAGAATTGTGATGGATGCTGCTCTCATCCCAAACCCTAGAGATGAAGAAAGACATCAAGGCAGTAACTGAAGGAGAGAATGTCGCATTAATGGGTGATTTCAGCTGCCTGCACATTGACTGGGTGAATGTAGTGGCTCTTGTTATATTGTTATTGCAGCCACTGCTGGAAACTGGAAACTAACCCTCTGAAAGGAGGTGAAGAAAAGATGAATTGGAGCAGAGTCACACATTTCATCTCTGTGAAACGTCTCCACTGTGCACTTAAGTGCTCTTTTCACATTAGAAATGCAAATCCGAACTGCGAGTGAAGTTAACCTTGTATTTGAAAAGATGTATCTCATGCACATGCACTCATTAGGAAGCCGAGATTGGCTGTGCTGCTTGTTGAGTGTGCTTTCATTAGCAAACCTGGGTCTGTGTGATGTAATAAACGAAAGGCCCTTAGAGAGCAGTCAGGGAAATCCAAACCAAACCTCTTTACGGAATATTGCTCGACCAAAAGCTAAGCTGATTTTGCCTCAGGTGGTTGTTTAAACTATATCTAAAACAGCCACCAAAGGCAGAGGATGCGTAGCTCTGCAGTTTCTACTATCTGTATTCTTCAAGTTCTATAGCTGGGTGACCCTGACAAAATGGGCCTTCATGGCTTAATCACTTGTCTGCCTACTGCTGCTCTTTGTTCCAGAATCAAAGCTATGAGAGAGCCCAGTTCTCCCCCCAAACCCCCACTTTTACTTTGATTGATGTTCCCTTTGGCATTCTCTTGGCTGCCTAAATCCAGCTACTTTAGTAATAACCCTTCCACTTTGTGCCAGTATTCCCCCCCCCCCCCCGAATAATATGTTACACCAGACCGGACGCTTGCCAATTTAAAAGCAAGCAAACCAGTGCAATTCTTCACGGCTCTCATCCCGTCTGTAACAACCTGCAACTCATCTTTCAACGTGTCCCCATTTTTACCATTGATATTCTCCAGACTTGTAGTTTCAATCGGATCTATAATAATAGAGGGACACCAGAGCTTGGTTTCAGTTATCCATCTGAATTTTGGAAGAACAAATAGGACCCATGACAAAGTTTTGTGGTGAATCTTTATCCACTCCAGGATACATTCCCATAAACTGCAGCAAAGTTCACACACACGAACACCCGGTCAACCCTCTTCTCCTCTCAAATGCAGGCTGATTGAGCAAACCAGTTCCCTCTTGTTTCTCACCCCACCTCCAGTTTTGTCATCTCCCACCCCCACTCACAAAAGAAAAAAACACCTTGGCATTTTGGAAACCCTGGAGTTTCATAGGCCATTTAGGGGTTTTCCAAATGATTGGTTTCGTTTAATTCACCATCTTATATGTTATTATTATATAAGGAGTCCCCACCAAGAAAGTAGAAATTTCTGCCCTTAGGTGACCCCATTTCACTTCCTAATGACAGGCACTCAGTTACCCATGTTCACTACAGGGCCTCGGACAGAAATCCTCCCCCAGTTCCACCTGGATATAGGAAGAATTGAACCTGGAACCTTCCGTGTGTAAATGCTTTGCTACTTAGCTATAATCCTCAGCTGAATTTTTAAAGTTTTATCCTCACCACCCACCGAAATGTTTGGAAGGAACATGATCAGGGGTCTGGAAACCAAGCCTTATGAGGAATGGTTGAGAGAGTTGGGTCTGTTTAGTCTGGAAAAGAGGAGACCGAGTGGAGATATGATAGCCATCTTCCAAGGGTTGTCACATGGAGGATGGAGCAAGCTTCTCCTGCTCTGGAAGGTAGGACCAAAGGATTCAAGTTTGTCGGAATCTCCTTTCCTGTCAACACCAGGAAGAACTTTCGGGCTGTAGGAGCTGTTTAACTGTGGAATGGTCTCCCTCCAGAGGTGGTGGACTCTCCTTCACTGGAGGTTTTTAAGCAGAGGTTGAATGACTTCTCTCATGTATGATGTACTTGATTACCCTGAGGGTCCCTTCCAACTCTACAATCCTATGATTCTAACTACTGATCTGCTGCATACAGATAATGAATATTCTACTAAAATAACTCCCCCCCCCATCTCTTGCAGGTTAAGCCAACAGAAAATTCGGTGTGCATTGGAGCCCTACTCTTTCTGTACACGGGCGATTTCTACTTGAACATCCAGTTCCACGAAGACAACTCCAGCAGGGAGCTTCCCCTCTCGTGGTTTTGCCTGCCCAGCGTTCACATCCGTGCTGCGCAGCCCGTGATCCAAACTAAGATGTAAATGTACCGTATAAAATTGCATTAGTCGCCATGCTCAGGAAGGCTGGGCGTTGCCTCCACATGACCTTAGTTTGTTGCTTTCCAGTCTGATGTTTTCATTCAAATGCATTCAAATACTTCCCACAATTAGCTGGTAGTTACTGGAAGCTCGTTTTGTTGATTTGAGAAGAAGTGAATGAGTATACTAGGGAACACAATTTTTCCTCATTTGCGTGTGGTTCTTATAGAATAACATTCCTTTCTCTTTCCCCCAAAGATCTTACATTGTTGCTGAAGTGCAGCACTGGGCTTTAGCAATCAGTTTTTAAGATGCAGGCTTAAAATGGAGTAACGGCTAGTATATTAATGCTTGTCTAGATAGGGGGCACCCAATACATTCTTGCAATGTAGGCAGAATTCCTAAAGCCACTTCCTTGAATTTTCAGCAATATTATAGAAACTTTCAAATATACCGGAAATGCAGGCTTGTAATGCAAACTCCTTTGAGCTGCAAACTCGGGTCTAATGAGCAGGATCACATTTGCAGTACAAAACCCACACCAACTTCATAAAAAAGTGCTTCATATTTCAACCACAGATCGTGCTGGTTATTAGGAAGCAGAAAGTAAATTCCTGTTGGCTTCATCATATGCACATTGGGATCTGAATTAATTCAAAATGGTGTTAATCACATATGTTAAATGGCAGCATTGCAAGGATATCTCTTTTTTTGGTAGAGGAATTGCTTCTAAGCAAGTGACACAGGTATTTGCATGAAGTGTCTCTTTCTCCTCACACCACCTTGTTCCCTAAGTGCGCATTTTCATGCAATGTAGCTTTTGATCTGGCATCAACTCACAGTGCTCTGGACTCCTGGGGCAAGAAATTAGGACTGTGCACTTTTGTTTAGAAGTTGCCTGACTAGTGGGAAACTAGAGACATCGCCTGCTGAGAATCCCTGCACTGACCTTCATTTCAGAATGGCTGTCTATCCTTCTAGGAAGCATTAACCCAATAGCCCGAGAAGTGACTTTGTGCTTTCTTCATCGTGTTGCCAGATGTTTAATGGCAGGCTTTCTCCTACTCCTTGCCTTGGATGGCCAGAAAATATTGTGCTCTCTCGTCTACTAATCCTGATCACTTATCCTGATTGCGCCCGATAACATTTACGAATAGCCTAATAGTTCTGTATCATCTTTGCTCTTCCGTTTCTGAACTCTTCCATAATACCTGTGAAACAGCACGTGTCGGTTCTGAACTGCAGGTGTATGCATTCTCTCCAGATTGCAGTCCATTCCGCTGCTGCTCTCTGGCAACATCTGCTTCCTAATAGATGCCACTCTGTGCAAGGTGACTTTTGAAGTCTGTTCCATTACAGAAATGTAGGATCTAACCTCCCCCTTGTTAACTTTAATGGATTATCTGCTTTGGCACTCTCTGTTTGCCTGCTTGCATGCTCCCGAGTGAGGAAGGGTAACTTTGCAACGCTGAAGATTGTTAAGTTTCTGGCCAGAAGTACATTTCCTAATGCGTTATTTCACAGATCTGTATTCTGAAGGAAGCTGGTGTAACCCCAGCTGTGCTCAATCTCTGAGCCATTAACATATTAGATCCCACAATTGCACTTGCAATAGAGTTTAAATGCAGACTGTTTTCCAGGTCTTTCTTCTTTTCTGGAAACATAGGCAGATTTCCCCCCTCCAAATCTGTAATGGGACAACTTTCACCTGTAAATCAACTGTAAACCCCAGTTAGATGAGTTAAACCATTCTTTGGTTTTAAAACTGTTACAAACCGAGAGCAGAATTTGGTCCGTTGTGTGTATATGCTGATATATGCTGGTGAAACTCAAATCGTATGTTACGTTGAACTTGCCAAATAAATATTTGTCCATCTGCCTCCCTCCACTGCGTATGATTTTCCACTGTGGTTTTACTGCTTGTAATTATGTGACACCTCGGCTGCTGTTATCACCTTGTGCCTTAACAGAACAGTATCAAATTACCCCTCGGTCTGGAATTCAATTTCACTCTATTTTATCTAGCGAATTTGGGCTTGTTAAATGATAAAGAAAACAATAGATGCATATGGACCAATAGGTTTTTTTTTAAAAAGCGACAACAACCACCATGTCTTTATAGGAAAAAATTCCTGCTTTAAGGAGCTTATAGTCTAAAAACAAAGGAGGAGGAGAGAAGCCCTGGGATATGTGGTAAGAATGCAAGTGTACATGGCTGCACACAGATTTGGCTAAGCTTAAGGTTAGAGAGATGGGGGTGGCGCTGTGGGTTAAACCACAGAGCCTAGGACTTGCCGATCAGAAGGTTGGCAGTTCGAATCCCCACAACGGGGTGAGCTCCAGTTGCTTGGTCTCTGCTCCTGCCAACCTAGCAGTTCGAAAGCACGTCAAAGTGCAAGTAGATAAATAGGTACCGCTCCGGAAGGAAGGTAAACAGCATTTCCGTGCGCTGCTCTGGTTCGCCGGAAGCGGCTTAGTCATGCTGGCCACATGATCCGGAAGCTGTACATCAGCTCCCTCAGCCAATAAAGCGAGATGAGCGCTGCAACCCCAGAATCGGTCACGACTGGACCTAATGGTCAGGGGTCCCTTTACCTTTAAGGTTGAGAGAGCAGGTATATGGGATGAAAGAATAAAGACCTCAGCAATGCAGGAGCAATGCAAAAGGCGTGAGCGTGAAACTTCAGAAGGCATGAGCGCAAATTTGTGCAGGACGCTTTTTCTGGGTTGGAGACCTTACCATGAGGTCAGATGAATGAATATCCACTGGTGGTTGTTAAGGGCAGCAGAATGGAAGAGAGACAGATCTGATCCATGGTCTCAGGGTTTCCTGGGGAAGCCCTATGAAGATGAATGAGAGCAGCACAAAAGAGTCAGAGGAACCAGGGTGGTATTCTGGCCATCAAGATGGCATCTAATGGGAAAGTAGTATGGAAGCTGGTCTTCAGTCAGGCTTGGTCCTTCGCTAACAAACATGTTCCATCTCCTTATATAGTGTTTTAATAGCTGCTCTTATTTATGGTTTTGTATGTTGTTGGGTCCATTTTAAAGGTGCCCTGGCCCTCCTGAGACTACGAAGCATCCTGAAAACGCGATAAAGAGCATTGTTTTCCAGTTCCTCTCGCCGCAGGCCCCTTGGGCCACATTGTACTATTCTGGCAGCTGCAGCCCTGTGATCTATCTCTGTGTACATCTTGTACATTAATGGAAATGTGTCAGCCATCATCATTATTGCTTTTTAACTAGCCTCTGCTGATTGAAAAATTGACATCACCCTCCTGCTTTGAAGGCAGCAAGAAGCGCAGCCATTTGTGGGAGTATCAGATGCAGATCACAAAACAAACAGATGTTAGTGGCCAAATCTGGGAAATTTGATTAGCCGCGTCACATGCAGGGCAGCTGGGGACATATCTGGCAATGTTTTGGCCTCGCTTAAATATTTAACTGGAGTTTAGAGCGTACATAGCACCTTTTAAAAAAAGAATTCTTTATTTTGTAATGTCTTCGTTGGCCTCAGAAGCCACTTTTTAGATGCTGAGAATGACTTTATGCCCTTAGATGGGTGTTTGTCATCTTCAGGGACTGAGGAACATAGGAAGCTATCTTAAACTTGTCTGTCTGACCCAGTGTTGTTTTGTCTGATTGGTAGCTCCCAGGAGTTTCACGCAGAGGCCTTTTCCATTACCTGCTGCCTGGTGGTTTTAACCAGAGTAGTTGCTGGGGATTGAACATATACTCGCAACCCAGAGCTATTTTATCTCCCCCAAGCCTGAGTTGGCTGTGACCCAGCCACACCCAATCCAAGCCAGTCTCTGCTCCCAGCAAAAAGCAATGCGGCGGAGAGAAGCCCTGAACAGTGATTCGTTCAGAGATGCGGCGGCCAGCTTCCTCGGAGTGGATAATTGTGCTGGGAATAATTGACTTATCCGATCACACCTAATGCAGTAAGACAGCGGGGAAAACTGCCCTTAATGAAGACTGAGTGGAAGGTAGCAGGGCCAGAGCAGTGATTCATTCCGGCACACAGCAGGTCTCTGACACCACCTCCAGCAGGTGGATGCTTCAGTCTCACAGGAGCTTTTAATTATGTGTGACAACATGAGGTTTCATGACTGATAGCATTTCCTAACACAAGATACAGTGAAAAACGCTACATTTGATGCATTTAAGAAAGCGGGGGGAAACCTTACAGAGTAGATTAGGGTTAATGAAACCTTTTGCATCCCAGGCATCACAATTCCATCTAGCTAATCTCTGGTGGGGTGTGGGATTCAAAAGCCACGGGTGGGGTGGGCCAGACGGCAAAAGTAAGCAGAGCAAAGAATGTAAGCGCTACCTAGGCTGCACACACTCATGCATTCATCTCTGCCCCACATCCAGGCAAGGAAGAGGCTTTATCAAAGTTGAAGAACACATTCTAGCCAGGAAGGATATGAAGGTATGTGGCTTTGGAAGGTTCCCATGGGTCAGTTATAGATGTCTACATGGCCACATGCAGGCTCCAGGCCAGACTCCCATCCCCTGGAGTAGATCCATCAGCAGCTAAACATAGCCTTCATATCTAGAGACAGTATTCACCTGCATGCAAAGACAGGCTCTGGTGGATTGAGCCCAACAGTGGGTATAACGGTCAAGAAGGCAGTTTGTGCTCATGCTGTAGAGGGAGCAAGGGGAAAGATGGTTCTTGTTGACCTGGGAAGGGAGCCCATCTTGTAGAAGGAAAATGGATCCTAAACTTCCTCTTCCTTACGGGATATCTTCAGGAGAAGAGGCGGCTAAGGAGTCAACCCTACGTAAATCCGGAACAGAGGCCCTAAGATGGTTGGGTTGGGCCTTGTATGCCTCCTTCCGGCAACTCCTGCAGCCAAGCTGATGCCAAACTTATTGCTCTGCTTTCCTTTGGACCATATCAGCGATGCTGAGAGGAGGGTCTTGTTTTAACCAGTGTGGTGTAGTGGTTAAGAGCGGTAGACTCGTAATCTGGTGAACCGGGTTCGCTTCCCCACTCCTCCACATGCAGCTGCTGGGTGACCTTGGGCCAGTCACACTTCTCTGAAGTCTCTCAGCCTCACTCACCTCACAGAGTGTTTGTTGTGGGGGAGGAAGGGAAAGGAGAGTGTCAGCCGCTTTGAGACTCCTTAGGGTAGTGATAAAGCAGGATATCAAATCCAAACTCTTCTTCATCTGTGGAACCTAGAACTTCCATGCACACTGTCTAGGCTTGTGCCCCAGGGAAGCCCCCATTGTCTCTTGAGACAGACAGATGCCAATAATACCTCCGATGTTGGTGACAAAGAAGAGGAAAAAGCTAAGCCACCTTCCTACCTTGATTGTGAGCTTTCAGAGGTATCATAATGGCTGCTGGAGTGCTGGGCTGGACAACCTTTTGGCAAGACGTCTTCTGCCAAATCTGTGGGAGACGAGTAGTTGATGAATTACTTAATGGATGCTTTAGTTGAGATTCCTCCACTGTAGGGGTTTGGACTAGATGACCCTCAGGTCCTTTCCAACTCTACAATTCTATGATTCTATTATATTATTCTATGAAAGTAGAAGCATATTCCTTATGGAAAGGCATCTTTAATTGAGACTGACAGTGCACCAGCTCTGCTTTTGGAAGATGTCCAAACGCTCACCATCCAATACTCTTGAGATTGGAAATTTTGCAGCACTGCCTGCTTCTGCAGCACAGTTTTCTCTCTAGCTTGATGCAACTCAGGGGTTCTGCAGGGCATCTCTGCTAAGGGGAGGAAAATGCATTTTTATTCATCTAGCAAAATACAAATTTCTTTTGACGGGGGTGTGTGTTGTCAAGTGTGGGTGCAGCAACACACTTGCAAGCAGAGCCTGGAGATACATTACCACCATTCCAAATTCCAAATGCTATGGTCGACCCACAAAATACCTGACCAGAGAGTCCAATAGCAAGATGGAGCACAGATCTCAGACAGAGACAGCAAAACATCATCTTAATGAACCTATTGAATGTGTGCAGTAAGGCTCACATAACAGCTAGTGCTGATCCATTTTCATTAACTGCCCTTAATTTGAAAGCTCAGCATCACTTTGCAGAAATCTTTGAGCAGAGGGATTCCAACGAAGCACAGTGTCCTTGTTTGTTGTGGTATTCAGTAGGAAGCTACTGCAGGGACGGCAGGCCACTCTGCCCCTGACTCTTCATGTGCTCCCCTTGGAGTATCAGAACTGCTTCCATGCTGGGGAGGGATTTTTCGTATGTGTTTGTCACCCTGCACCCACTTTGTGGGTGCACCAGTGGAGCCAATCCAGTGCTCCCCATCCCAGACCCTGCATTAATCATCTGCAGCCCTTCATGTGCCTCCTCCATGAGATGTCTGGAAGGCAGGAACATGAGAACGGGCCTTTTCTGTAGTGGCTTCCCATTTGTGGAATGCTCTCCCCAGGGAGACCTGCCTGGTGCCTTCATTACATATTTTTAGGTGCCAGGCAAAAACATTCTTCTTTTCCCAAGCCTTTGCCCAATTAAACAATCTATGCCATTTTAATCTCTCTCTCTCTCTCTCTCTCTCTCTCTCTCTCTCGCTCTCTCTCTCTCTCTCTCTCTCTGTGTGTGTGTGTAGGGGTTATTGCTTTTGTTTGTTACTACGGTATGCATTTTTGTGTTTTGGGATTGTAAACCACCCTGTAAGCCTCTTCATGAAAGATGAAGCTCAATCCTACCCAAAAATTAGGGGGAATTTGGAAAATGTTCTTTTCCCTTTGAACAGGAGTGGATGAAATTTGCAGCGATACTAGCCCTCTGGACTGACTTTAGCATTTCAGCATCTAAGAGAAGGAGCGTCAGAAACTGTGATCAGTATATTTTAAATTACTAATAATGAAATAAAAAAGTAGGCTAATAGCTG